CTAATAAGTTTATAACAATTTAATGCGCAGTCTAAATTAAAAATTTACTGCACACCTAATACCACACCAAATATTCAGATAATGAACATACTACATAATATCACTTCGTCAGTGGCGTACACACGGGGGTGTTCCAGTCCTCCTTTACTTTTAATATACGAAAATGGTTAAAATTGTTAAATAGCATTATTTTGATAAATATAAGCAACGTATATTATTATTATTATATCCTCTTTGGGCAATGTCTGTGTATTACTCACTGTCGATATATGTTGTATTTATTAATAATATTATAATAAATACAATAGGCAATCTTATAAAAGTCCCTCCTTGATACCTATATAGCTATATGAGCTCAACATTTTAAAATTAAAAATTAAATAGCTTAAGTTAATATCCTATATTATAAATAATTTAATTATCACAAATACCTACTTTAATAGAAATACACTAACAAAATATTGTACTTCAAGTAATTATGTAAATTACATAATATATTATTGTAATTGTTAAAAAACTTTGTACAACTTTGTGCAGAAAGAAAGATTTTAGAGGCATGAGAAACCCTGAAACCATTCCTGTTTGTACTATTTGGGTTACTTTATCAGCCTTTTTATAACAGCCAATATAACACTGTTGGTGAGGTCGAATTTCGACAGACATGACATATTTAGCTCATTATCATGTAAGTTGTGAATACTTCAGAGGATAATGATGATCATGTTGTGTTTCATATAATTATAATAAAATATGCCTGTTCCAGCATCCATATGCGCACGTAATAATCTAGCGCTAAACAAAATACTTGAACTAACTTAATATTTTATACCAAAGTCAAGTCTAATATTGTGTAATGAATTTAATACAAACATTACTTTAAAATTCCATACTATACTAGATAGAATATAGATATAATCATATACAATTAATATAGTAAAAGTATAAATTACTATTGCTACGGGAGTGGTTTATCCATTTATAGCTTATAGTACTTATAAAGTTCGGAACAGATGAATTGTTTCCCTTTCTTCAGGAGCAATCAAGCAGTTCACGGTAGGATAGAATAAATATCACGAGGGAAAATCAAGGGCACACTTAGTGATAGTCAGTGCAGTTTGAGGTCAGTACATCGTTAGTTTCCATTTCTTCTTTAAGAGCATTAACATCTTCCCAACCGAAGAATCCAATCCATCACTCAGAAAATTTAATATCGTGATTCTAATATGATCATTACGTATCCTTCAAGCCTTCTATAATCTTTGACATATAAATGGTGAATTTTGAAACTGAATCAATAATTCTTTTAAATAATTCTATACAGCAGTTTGTACTAGTACCTTCTTCAATATTTTCAACTATTATTGTTTCTTCAAATGTATTTTCTAACCTCCCTAGTATAGCATTATTTTTAAATTCGTCATCGTATTTTAAATGCTTCGGTTGATTTTGATATCAAAATTAAACATTGTCATATGAATTTTGATATCTGAAAATATGGCAAGATCTGACCTACAAAACATGTAATTCAATGATCATGTGATAGAAATTTAAAATCAAGAAACTTTTTCTTCATTGTGGCTTTTTGAAAAATAAACAAGGTCGCCAATTACATTACACTAAATAAAGAATAAGTGAATTCTGTCAACAGACTTCATCTTCATTAAACGAATTCATAATAGATTCTTTCCACTGCTGTGTTGTTGAAGTTCTTTGTTCTCAACCCAGATTTATGAAAATATATTGAAATTGATGAACGAGTTCAGTATTTTGATTTCAATAACACAGTTAAACTTTCCCATGCAATGCCGCCAAACTGCACACACAAACTTTAACAATGAATGAACGTATTTTGTCTTTCTAAATTTTAAAGATATTTTACTCAGTGTCCATTAATGCATAAATATTGGTAACAATTGATGAAATTAATATTAATTATTCAAGGTATTACTGTTTGCATTATGATTTTATTACCTCACTCTTCCTCTGGCTCACTTATTCAGGTTCATGAAACAATAAAAATTAATTCATATCACCATCAGGATTAACAATTTTGCCATCCCATGAATATTGTCTATTTATAGATCAACAGACCATCCCGTAGTGGAAATTACCGAACTGGTTTCTAATTTTATTTGCAAATTCCGATTAATATCTGATTGAACGGCATTTTAATAAATCTGCCAGTGAGTTATCTTAATCACCGCAGTGTACCTCTTCAAACCAGTTCTATGATCGACGCCAAATTTTCTTTTAAAACCTGCTTCCTCTCGCGAAGCCTCCACTAAAGAGTGCCTCGTTTGCATCGTTGGCTTCCTTTGCAGTCACCAAATTTTGCAGCGACCAATTTATGGTTCTGTCGATTTTGTGAAATAGTTTATCCATTGTGGTGCTATAAATAGTTTTAGACGCTAGATAATTACTAAGACGGTGAACTTGCCAATTTCTTTGTGCATAAGTCGATGTTAAATGATTGTTAAAAGTTCATTCTTGGAATCATTCCTTCTTCGAACATATAGCAAGGAGAGTTTATTGCTATTCGTATTCATTAATACTGTCTTTTATTTGAAAACAAACACTACATCATTTTGTTCTGCCGCATATCCATTTGATGCTTTAATTTTTCAAAACGGATCTAATAAATTCTACAGGTGCCATGCATAATTTGCCATTATTACTATCAGAGGATGCCTCATTATTACCTAAAAGCATTAAAAATAAAATATTGAAGCATTAGCAAAAGCCAAAATCATAAATAAAATTAATAAATGCATAATATTGTAATTGTATAATACCTTATTCAGACACCTACAAAACTAATTGCAAAAGCAAAAGCTCATAAAAAATATATAAGGTGCCCATTCTTTAGATGTTGTATTTGTACTGCCTGCAGTTGAACGGTGAACTTTTATTAAATATTTTCTGCCATTATATTAAATATGTTACGTATATATTATGTTTGAACGATAATAGAAACATTGAAACTATAACCAGTGCCTAATCTAACAAAAGCGTTACATATCACATAATATGGTACAATCCTGAGAACATAATATTAGTATCTTTGATAACTGCGACAGTTATTACTGAACATTGTAGTTTTGCCGATGGCGGATCGTCGTGAATCGTTTTAACAGCATCGTACCTTCCCAACAGTGTAAGACGTATAAACTCGGCGGTATTCAAATGAACACAAGCGGCAGGCATCTTAATGGCTCTGTGTTCCATCATAATTTAACACAGGCTACCGTAAAGGCCACGGCTCTCTGTACGGTTGCGGCTGTGCTGAGCGCCATATTCGACAGCTGATAACCGCCTCTGTGTTTACAACCATTGTCACTGATCAATTTATTGAAACTGCCACCTACTGCAGCAGATCGTGCCATGGAATTGTATGTTAACTCGATGGTGATAAGAGCGTGACGTATATGTCTGTGTCCGGCGGCGGCAATACCTGAGTGTGCCAGGTAATTTCATCGGTGAAAAATGGTACTTTTTAGAAAGACAAAATGTTATTCCATGCATGATGCGGCTGGTAATTGATGTCAATAAAATCTGAGTTCAAACTTCAACAGTGCCTACGCAAGTCCTCCATTCAGTGTATTGTGCTACTTTCAAGCAATGTTTTATGATCATTTAATGTTTCTCCGTACAATATGAACATACTGAGTTATTTGAAAGCAGCTAATAATTGACCTATGTTGACCAAATCGTGAAACACCAGTGATACCAGCATTAAACGTAAACTTATCTTCTGCTGATGCTCATCTGTTGAGCGATACCCCAACAAAGCACACTTTTCATCAGACTCAATATATTTACAGTATAATTTTTAAAGATGACCGTAAATACATAACTCTTAAGTTATTTCGAGCATATTATGACATGTAATTCAGAATACCGAACCTGTAAAGTATTTCTTGATGTATTAAGTATTATGTACGGCTAATCCTTGATGACTCTTAGGTATATTGATGACAGTATACACGGGCCGGCGGATATGTGATGCGTTTACTGCTGTTATCAAATATGTTATTTTCATTATCATGGCGGCTGTTACCCGACCAATGATATTATGACCATGTTCCATTATAACACGAAATATTGACCATTCAGTACAGGCCTGTAATACTGACATAAACACCTGGCAAGGATTAACACAGTGTCCAATGAAAACTGCATGATGAATGACAACGAAATCATCATACAATTTTCATCTAATGTGCAAAATCGGAAAAACGACGCACTCAACAGCTTTCGGCGAGAATACAAGCTGAGCGATACTTGATTTAAAAATATGTGATATTTATCTTAAGTGAACTGACAAGTGTGCGTTGTTTGTATTTGTTACCGAGTTCCTAACTAAAAGTTAACACAAGTGAGTTAATTAATCCAATAGAAATTGAAAAACTTCATGATATTGAATTAGATATTGGAAATTTCATAACTCAAACTAACGCTATAAATGATTATTCGAAATCAGTCATCCTTCAACGAAGTAATGTTCCTAGTAATGATTTTCAATATCCATTTTCAATTCATACTAAAAAAGGTAAATCGGAAAAACGATTTTTAAGAAAAAATCACTTTGAAAAGTTTCCATACATTTTGTAAGGTTTGTGTTTTGTTTTCAACTTCAAACAAAGGGGGTATGCATAAAACAGAGCAATTAAAAAGCTTGGTTACAGAACCAGTAATTAAATTTGCAAAGCTATTAGGAAAAGATGGTATTTTAGAATTACACAATAATAATGGCTATCATAAAGATAATTTACAACGAGCAAATGACTTTTTGAATATCTACAATCATCCTGAAAAAGAAGTTATCAATTTAGTAAACGATCAACGTTAAAAACAAATATTAGATAACCGTGAACGATTACGACCAATAATAAAAACGATTGTTTTCTTAGACCAGCAAAATATACCGTTGCGTGGTCATCGTGATGATGGTTTTATTTATCAAGAAGATGGGGGAAAAGTTGATTCTGTCATTAATCAAGGAAACTTTAAAGAACTTCTTAAGTTTCGAATTGATACTGGTGACCATTTACTTAAAAATCATTTGAAAACTACTGGTGAAAGAGCTACTTACATAAGTAAACTAACGCAAAATGAAACAATCGAGTGTTGCAAACTAGAAATATTACATTTAATACTTTTAGTAGTAAAAGAAACAAAATATTTTAGTATTCTATTTGATGAGACCACAGACTTATCTAACATTTCTCAAATGTGTTTAATTATTCGGTATATTTTACATGGAAAATCTTATGAAAGATTTTTAACATTTATCGATTGTCATAGCTATGTTTATAATAAACGAAAACACCAACAATTAGATGTTCATTTGGATGACAACGATGAACCTCAAGAAATATTAAATAGTAAATTGGAACCTAAATTAACTGGAGAACTTTTGGGAAATACAGTCGTAAAACTATTGCAAGAATTAGAATTAGATTTAAATTACTGTGTAGGCATTGGGACCGATGGCTGTTCCGTTATGATATCTGCAGTCCGCGGCGCTGTCCAACAAATTAGAAAAATTGCTAAAAATGCAATACATAGTCCTTGTTCAAATCACGCCTTAAATTTAAGTATTTCAAAATCGTCTACTGTACAATCAATTCGCAACTGTGTTGGAGTAATAAAAGAAGTTACTTCTTTTTTTCATATATTTGTCAAACGTAATTACGTTCTTCAACAACATTTGACTAACCATAGAAAATTGCATAATTTATGCGAAACACGATGGATAGAAAGGCACGACAGTGTATTTCATTTTAAGGAATCAATAATTGAAATTATTGACACTTTAACTGAAATATCTGGATGGCAGGATAATATTTCTTCTTCGAAAGTTAAAATGATGATATCTGCTATTTGTAATTGTGAATTTATATTTTCTCTTTTTTCATTATCAAATTTACTAGCTGTTACTTTTCCGATAAGTAAAATTTTACAAGGCAAAGATCAAGATATTGTTGCTGCATCTGAATGTATCAAAGATGTATATTTAATACTTGGACAAAATCGTGAAAAATGTGAAGAAAAATTTCAATCTATGTTTAAAGAGTGTGAATTAATTCTAAACAAACTTGATGTTGATATTAAATTGCCCAGGATTATAGCACATCAAAAACATAGAGTTAATGCTACATCATCAAACAACCCTGTTGATTATTATAGAATTAATATTTATATTCCTTTATTGGATAATGTATTAGAAGATTTTGATTTCCGATTCTTAAGCAAGGAAAATTCAAATATTACTTTATCAATACAACGTATACCAAAATATGTTGTCAAAATGAAAACTGAAGACTACAATAGCTATTTTGCAAAAATTATAGAAATAATGACTAAAGATTACACATACTTTCAAAATGTTTCAGAACAAGCCATAGAGAATGAAATAAATATGTGGTTTACTAAATGGCTTAGACTTCAAACGGAAGGTAAAATATATATTTTAATATAATTAACTGATAATTTAATTTAATTTAAATGTATTTTTTTAGGAAAAAATATTCCAGTTAATGGGTTGGATGCTCTAAGTATGTGTCCAGAATCTATATTTCCAAATATAAATAAAATGCTGATTATTATTTGTTCACTACCAATCAGTGTCGCGACAGCAGAACGCAGTTTCTCAACACTCAGAAGGTAGGTACATGACTTACCTACTATAAGTTTACATTTAAATTTTAGTACCTATCTATTATTCATAAAATATCATATAACTTTACTTAACATAAATTAATATTCAAAAAAAATAATTTACATAATACTTTTATTAACTATTTGTTAAGTAGCCAAATCATTATTTTATTAGAATTGTTATACATTTTTAACTTTATTTTTAATCTAATTATATTAGGCTGAAAACAACAACAATTGGCGAAGAAAGGTTGAACGGGCTAGCATTACTTCACATTCATAAAGATATTCCTATAGATACAGAAAATATTATTACACGTTTTGCTAAACAAAAAAAAAGACATATGCTTTTATTGTAGATTTTTATTATTAAAACGGTTGAATAACTGTGCATCTGTGACTAAACTTTTTTTTATTTAATTGTAAGTACAAGGTGAACCTATTTTGGATAATTTCATAATATACTACGTATAATAAAAAATGTTTGTTCTATTTGAAGTATTTGCGTTATTTCAAAATATTGTGGGAAAATTATGGGCTCTCCAACGACTCATTAGTGTCCTATGATTATTATAATTTCCGCCCCTCCCCTTAAAAGTCAGTTATAACCGCCACTGGTATGCGGCAGGCCCGTGTCCATGTTATGGCGCGTATCGGCTGTGTACCGGTAGTTCGCGAATGTTCTAGAACAATAGTATACTTATATATATCACTGCGCTACAGTGGCGAAACGAGTAGTATCGTGACAGTGGTCTATGCGACATGTTCGTCCTTTACTTTTTTTTACTTTTGTAGTTGAAGAATAAAAATGTGTGATCGTACCTATATGTTTACCTTATTTTTTCTAAAAAAGGTCTTGATCGCTCGCGATCTCTGAGAGTACCCCAACAATTATAATTTCAATTTCGGAAAAAAAAATTCCCGAAATATTCTGATGGTAAAATTATTGAAGAAGAAAATAATTTTAAATACCTATGTAAATGGATTGGCGCGGGCTGTACGCGGTCGTATCCTCATAGCGTGTAGGTAGGACAGGTAGGTACTATACTACTATAATAGTATAATATGTAATAGGCATATTATTTCTATTTTTGTTCATAATATATTTCCCGGAACGTCACGGCATGGTTTGGTGCGTCCTTATCGTAGTTTTGTATAAATATAATATGTACGACGTACGTACGTATGTTAGTATTGATAGTTTAATGATATTGTGTAATTCTAATTTCTATCAGTCTTTCCACTTTTGTCATCCGTACTTGTTGTTCTTCACGTTTTAATATTTACGTATAGTGCGTGTTTTTTCTATTTAATTTAACATTCAAGTGATTTAACTTTTTGGAATGGCTAAGCGCGCGTTACCATATAAAGATGATTTTTTGAAGTTTGGTTTTACAGAAATAAAAGTTCGATCGGGATTAGTGCGTCCTCAATGTGTGTTCTGCCTGCAAGTTTTGTCAAATGAATCAATGAAAGAAAATCAACTCAAGCGGTATCTCAACACTGTTCATCTTATATTGATAAATAAACCATTACAATTTTGGAAGGAACATAAAAATGAAATAAAACGTATGCGTCTTGATTGTCCGTCCAATACACGTCTTACAGTTTCATTACAGAAAACAACAAAAGCATCATTTGACGTTGCTTGGAAAATCGCACGCTCTAAAAAGGCACATAACATTGAAGAGGAACTTATCAAACCAGCAGCTATTCTATGGTTAGAACGGTCTGCGGAGATGACACTGCTAAAAAATTGGAATTAATCCCACTTTCGGATAACACAGTTAAACGAAGAATAGACCTTATGTCTGAAAATATTTTAAAACAGCTAGTACATCAAGTGATTGCAGCTAATAAATTTTTAATACAAATTGATGAATCTGTTGATATTCATAATAACGCCCAATTGATGGTATACATATGTTATCGAAGTACTGACGATTATCGTGAAGAATTTTTATTTTGTGAGCCTCTTCTTACAACGGCAACAGGCTTAGATATTTTTAATAAAGTTGATGGATTTTTTCGGAAAAATAATCTAGCTTGGTGTAATTACGTTGGAATCTGTTCGGATGGTGCACCGGCAATGCTTGGGAATCGAATAGGATTTTGTAAACAAGTTCAGGAAGTTAACTCAAATGTTGTAATTATTCATTGTTTTTTACATCGAGAAAATTTGGCAACTAGAACAATTCAGCCAGAACTTTTTTCAGTACTTCAAGACGTAATTCAAATTGTCAATTTCATAAAATCAAGAGCACTAAATTCAAGAATATTCCATGCCATGTGTAACGAGATGGGATCACAGTATATAAATTTACTTTATCACTCGGATGTACGTTGGCTTTCCCGTGGAAAAATTCTTACCCGTGTAATGTCTTTGCGTTTAGAAATACAAATTTTTCTAACGGAAAAAAACACTCATTGGCTGATAAATTTAATGACGATTCGTGGGTCGCTAAATTGGCTTTTCTAAGTGATATTTTTGGACAGTTAAATGAATTGAATATTGAGATGCAGGGGAAGAATAGGACAATGGTCGATATTGGCGAAAAAATCTCATCATTCAAACAAAAGCTCACACTTTGGCGGGAAAAACTGTTTCAAGGAAAAATTGCTACATTTCCCCTTTTAAGTGAATTTCTTGAAGATTCAACAAAGGGAACATTAAATGACTTAAAATTACTACTTCAAGAGTACTTGGACAAATTACAGATAGAACTCGATCGATATATACCAGAAAACGTAGAGCTCAGTAAATACAGTTGGGTAAGAAATCCTTTTGAAATTTCTGTTCACGAAGTTGGTGAAGACATTTGCGGGTTCCAAGAAGAACTTCTTGACCTTCAAGCCAGTCAAGTCTTAAAAGAAAATTTTTCAAGAATGTGTTTGACGCAATTTTGGGCACAATTAAAAGATAAACCGATTTTATCAAGAGAATCCGAAAATGCATTGCTACCATTCACAACCACATACTTATGTGAAGCCGGTTTTTCTACGTTAGTTGTCATCAAAACAAAGTATAGAAACCGCCTTGACGCTCAACACGATATGCGATGTGCACTTTCAATGAATATACATCCAAGTATCGAAGAATTCGTGGAATATGTTCAGCATCAAGGAAGTCATTAAGTAAGAGTTAATACAATTAATACCATGTCAAATTTGAAACAAAGAATAAATTGCTTTTTATAATATTTTAAGACGGAAGTCACGTATGTTGATAAGTTTTTTATTTGTATTTTATAAATTTATTTTATTTAGTATTTGAAGATAGATAAATGTACCAACATATTTACCGATTTGATGTTAATAAATGAAAGTGATGTTTGCAATTATGTTCTTTTTTTTTGGGTCGCCAAAAGTTAAATTCAAAATTTTAGGGTCACTCTCATAAAAGGTTGGGAACCACTGATGTAAACAATCAAATATCGATTTGGTAAAAAGAGTCGACTATTTGAATTTAGCGGGTGATGTACGATCAGTTTGTAATAAATGTACATTTAATGCATGGCACATGTTTTTTTAGTTTTTATAATTTGTAAATTATAGTCGTAAAATTTGTAGTTGACTTTTCAGTGGCCTAGTAATTTTAAAATATTTATTCACATTGGAAAATTTATATAAATATTAAATAACACATTATATATCTATTTAATTATTTAACTATTTATACAATTTATATATTTTCATATTTTATACGCGGATTAAACGCAATTATATAAATATTCAGTGTTCTATTATTTAAAATAATACGACTATAATTATTGACTTATTAAAATGTATATTAAATAATTGTTTAAATTACATATATTTTAGATTTTATTTTTTTTTATTGATAAATATCAATCACAATCAAATTACGGCATCATGTTTTATTTTAAAAATATTTATTATACTTGGGATCTTAAATTTATCATATGATCTGTTTGATTGTCCGGTGGTTTTTTCACGTTACGAGACAATATGTTTATTTGATAGAATAATGTAAAGCACAGTACAATCAATATGATTATAAATATTTTTCGTACGGTTCGGTGATTATACACATACCGCCAACGGTCTTACACCCGATACACCTATGGCACGGAGGATAGTGCACATGTGTACAGCACTGAAATAGTCTGTATGTTTTCAACACATTTGCGTGAAACATCAATGTCGGGTACCTGATTATTAGTTCGAACGGTCTGTCACATTTTTTACACGCTGGATCGTTGCTCAAACAACATGGCTGTCTGTTGTGCGTGTGATTTGTACATGCACACGTACATTTGTAAATATTATCCACGGATAAGAAATGATCACGAATCTGAAAGTCATTTATACGATATTCTAGTTTTCGGACAGTGATCTTGTTCGTCAAAAACAATGGTAATTCGTCCGTGTTACACATCATGGTGTTGTAATAAAATATTAAACTAAACATAAGAGTATGAAATCACGAAACCGACTGATGAAACAACCATAGCGTATCGATGTTTATACAAAAAATTTATCGAGCAAAAAATTGTAAACACAACCGACATAAAAAATGAACCGTTGATGTGACAAACATTGCAAACGTTATGTTTTAGGAAAAGAAGGGGCAGATATACACAATACCTTATAAATTGAACGTTATAAAACTTAAAAAAACGTTGTTTTTTAACTATAAAATTGTAATGTCAAAGCAGCGTGTTCGCTAATCCATAAAATATATCACATGCAGAGCCGTGCCGTGGGGGGGGCCTAGGGGGCATATGCCCCGGGCGCATGGTTTAAAGGGGCGCCAAACATTTTTTTTTTATAATATTTTAAACTTTACATAAATAAAATATATGAGAAAGATTATTGTTTACAATTATTTTGGACCATTACAAATTTTTTCTGAACAAATTTCTGACTATGTTTGAGGAGTAACAATTAGTCAACCAAACGTTTTATTCTTGTTATATTATTGGCTTTATAATAAATTATCGTATTCTTTATCTCAAAATCGACTGCACGCGAAGTGCGATAAGCGTTAGTAAATAAAAACCAGATACAAATTATAAATAGAAGTATATAACACAAAATAATATAATAAACAATATTCTTACGTGATTCCTTATCCATGATATGTTTTTAGTTGTATAAAAATAATGAAGTGTGTAAACGATGATATGAAAATGTGAAGTGGAATTATTTTTAACACGATAACAAAAATGAGCTACAATTAACAGGACGACTGATTTGATAAACAACGACGATCAAGTGATAGCTCTGATGGAAATGATTGGCAGTGTAAAAGAACAGGACGACAATGCCGTTCATCCCGGAGTGATACTCCTGTTGATTGGAATATTTTGCACAGCCCACGTCGAAACACTTATGAATCCAAAAAAGTGGTTGCACCAATCTATACAGAAAGTATGGACGGAAGCGATGTTGAATTTGGAGGCGGAAACAGTGACAGCGATGTTGATTTGTTTGAGGAAGAGTTTGAAGACATCTTACAGAGATATGCCCGTTCAGTGCATAGTAAACCTGTGTCAGGAGTACACCGTTACATCAGTTAAGTTATTGTGCCCCTTGGACCTAACGGAATTGATAAGTGTTTATAAGAATTTGAACGAACAATTGAACGATAGCCACCTAGCCATTGGTACATCATCGCTAGTCACGGAGATCATATCCACGTGTCCCACATCTGCTCCAGTTCAAACGGCTCTTGTCGATGCAGTTGGCTTCAACGGTGTAACGGATGGGCGCAATTCGGAAAACGTCGACTTCGTCGAATTACTAGAGCAGCCGCACTCACGGTTCCAGATATCGCCAACATTTTGCGATACTTATCTGAAGGCACTCGACGTGTCGAGAGAGTTGGTGGATTCACAGAAGATGAAAGATTATCTAATCGATATCAACATTTATCGGCAAGTATTTTTATTAAATTATTTATTGGAACAACGCAAAATATTTTTAAACGAAAAAATTTTAAGACAAAATACTTTTCGATTAATTAAACGTCCATTAAACGTACAAAGCTTATACAGGCGAAAAGATATACCTAAAAGAGGTAAAGGTTATTTAGAATTGACAATTTACAATTCTTTATTTATTAAGAACGTAACCAGAGTACTAAATTGTGCTGAACAACAAGCTTTTAACGTTTGTAAATTATTAATAAATTTGGAAGAATATATGATTCGTAATTACGGATAGTTTGAGTCATCAATACTTATTCATTTCAACGAATATAAATATTGCTATAGTCGTTGTATGCGTTGTAATTATGTTCATAATGTTATTGATGATAATAATTTACGTAATGACATTAAAAATACTTATTCGTTGTTACATTCAAATCAAATTGATAAGATTATGGAATGTAAATCAATAGTAAAACCATATTTTTTTCTTACAGCAAAGAAGACATAGAAGATCGGGACAAGCAGGACTATTGGATGGGAGCGGAGGTACGAACTCGTATGACTTTCAATGCGAAAAACCCGATCGTCGGTCAAATGAAACAGATGGTGAAGAAATTTACTCAGGAAATACAAATGTCAAACACGGTAAAGTTAAGAAAAAAGGAAAGAAGTCGTTATCAGCGGAGTACGGCCCGTTAACCATTAGTCAACTGCTATATGAATACCCAACGTGTCCCCCTACAGCATTTTATCATACAAAAGAATTTTTTAATAATCCTAATGTAAATGATACTTTAAGTAATTGTAAATTTGCTGAACGCGATATGCGTAATTGGTGTTCAAAACTCAATTGGTGGACCTTAACCGATTATAAAAATTATTATAACGATCAAAAAGTACACCCATATTTCAATGCTTATAATCGAATACATTCCGAGGTTTATTATTCAGTAGATGCATCGGTCGACATAGCAAATAGATTATTATTATATCAATACAATAACAATACCGAATGCGTAGCCGATTTTTTACAAGATTTATTAAATGTAATAGATAAACGCGTACCTAAATTAAATACTATAGCTATACACGCGATGCCAAACGCTGGTAAAAATTATTTTTTCGACGTTGTGTCAGCGTTTTTCATTAATTATGGTAGTATAGGAACAGCTAATAAAAATAATATGTTCGCATTTCAAGAGGCCGCCGGTAAACGTTTAGTTTTATGGAACGAACCCAATTACGAATCATCGCATATCGAAAAATTAAAGGAATTACTAGCGGGCGATACAACACGTGTACATGTAAAATATCAAGGCGATGCACCATTACAAGGTCCACCAATTATTATATTGACAAATGATAGCTTATCTATATTCGGTATGTCAGAGTTTAAGTCGCGTATTAAATTACATCGTTGGCGTACAGCTGAGTTTTTACGTCAATACGATAAAAAAATACATCCATTATTTTTATTACCATTATTTGAAAAATATGAAATAGAACAGCGGTTCTTAACCTTTTGTAGAACACGGACCCCGATGAAAGATTTTTAGAGATCGCGGACCTCCTACCAATTTTTTTTCAAATACCTACCTTTTTTTTTACAAAACATATCAAGTTATCATAACCAAAATTATAATAACTATTTTATACTACAAATTATAGAAGTAGACATAACAAAATGTACACATTTATAATTATTACACTTGAACATCATTAAACACTTAAATTTAAAAAAAAAAATTGTAATATAAATTATTTTATTATTAATTATTATTATTATTATCTTATTCTTAATATTCTTAACCCTTTCAGGACCACACAGTGATTTAACCAAAATCAAAAATTTTTGACAATTCTACTATATTAGAGTGTTTTAATAAATAAAATGAAAATTTTTGTTATGGAAATTGGGA